GCACCCAGATGTAGACACGTGACTGACTTTAGCCAATAGAATGTAAAGGGAAGTGGATTTGTATCATTTCTCGGCCAAAGCAGTCAACATGTAGGTTCATCTCCCTCATGTCTTATTCTCCCTTCTTCCTGGCTGAATGGAGTGGACTGCAAGAGCCTAGAGGAAGATCAGATCAGACAGTGGAATGACCAAAGAGAAGGTTGTTGGACCCGAACACCCTATGGGACTGTGATGGGAATGGGAAATCGCCTTGGTTTTGTTAAACTGTCATTATTTGATATCCTTATTTTGTTAAACTGTCATTATTTGTTAAAACTGCTGGCCTGTCCTGATAGGCTGCATACATCACAGATGCACAGAGTGACGAGAAAGCAAATTAAATTTGGATTCCAGCTCAGGGAGGTCTACGCCACATACATGGCAATTCTCAACCTGAAAATTCTTCCTGGGATCGCCATTGCTTCACAATCATTTTCATCAGAGCTTTAAAAAGTTCTCATTTTCACAGCATTCCTTCTCCCCACATGACTTTGTGTCTTTTTCCACTGCATCCCAAAGCAGATGGGGATTGGGAGGTTGAGTCATTTTGAAGTCTGCCTTTGGAAGTTGTCCAAAACCTGTGATTAGCCTGAACCCACATGTCATTTCTCAGGCACTCTCTTATCATAGTCTTATCTTGCATTTTAGAAGTGAACATTTTTCCTTCATGCCCACAAATTTTGGTGCTAGGAAAGAATAAAATATGGTAATTTTCTGACATTGAGTTTGTTAAATTATGCACTGATGAAGCTTCATATTTCTCCGTCTAATTAGAGGGTAAGATTTGAGTAATAGCAAGTAAATTGCTGCAACATGTCTAAATGTATTATCTTATTTTGAATGACACTTTAGTAATAAAAATGACTTGTTTCACAACAAATCTTTTTATCTTAAAAGGTCAAAATATTATATATTTTCAAAAGATTTCCTACCTGAAAAATAACTTGGGAAGTATAATACCCAGCCTTATTGGGAAAATAATCAGCAGGGGAAATACAGATTCTGTCCATAAAAGAATTATTAGACTATGAAGGATTACACAAAAGGGATTTTTCTTTGCATTTACTAAATTGTACAAGTAGAATTTCATCAAATCCATGTGAAACTAAGGGAGATAACTGTTGGGATTATTCACCAAATAGGGGCAAGAGTACTCAAGATCATGAAAGGTAGAGAATGACATCTGACATTTATTAAGTTAATGTGGGCATCTGCTCTTGAGCTCTATCAAAATGAAGGTGCTATGTATAAAAAGTCCTTATCTGTTTTTTTATTTAGGCTCAGAAATGCAGGATGAGGAGTAAACTCTTAAGGCCCCTCCAATTGTGTATGCAGTAAGATTCACCTTTTGTTATTTATAAAGAGCAAAGATGGTCAGCATCATTTATTTTGCCAGATGAAATTGTGTCCCTTTATGAATTCTTTCCATAGACCCACTAAGGAATGGTTAATTGCAATATCAAAAAATGTGAGATTTGAGAGAGATTTGCAGAAATCATCTAGTCTCAAGCCTGTATTTTATGGATGAGAGTATCTGTTTACTCAAGGTCATCTGTCATCTGTTTCTGCCGGATGTAACTGAGAAGTCCAGCAGTGAAATCTACAGACGTAAGGAGCAGCAGGAGCCAGGTGCTCTGGTCTGTCATCAGGGAAGTGTGTTTTTCTCTGTGGCTTCATTTCAGAAAAGTACTAAAGGCGATTCTCATGCAATGCTAAACTAATTTAAGTCTCATATACTTCTATCTTTATGGCTTCAGCAAAAACTGAGCTTCTTTTTGCTACAGATTTAAGTAAAAAAAATCATAAACCCAGTTTCGGTTGAGTTCTGAACCCTTGTGGCCAGAGGCATTTCACACTATGATTTTCTCAGTTTGTGTGAGGTGCCCATCTGCTAGGCAGGGAGTCCCATCAGCTTCCCTGAATCCATATGGGACCGGGACTTGGAGGTACAGTAACCAAATGAGATTCCCATCAACAGGGAGGGATAAACAGCTATTGGAGTAGAGATCAGGATTTAACTGGTGCCACAGCATCAAAAATAGATTTTTTAAAATGATTTTGTAACTTGACTGTTTGGAGTGCTTAGATTTTTCTCTTCAAACCTAGCGGGTTTACTTTTAATGTTTTTGTGTTTCATTTCCAAATGAAACATTGATTAAATAATGTCAGGGCTTAGGGCCAGGGATTTAGCTCAATGGCACTGTGCCTGCCTCGCAAGCGCAAAGTCCTGAGTTCGATCCCTGGTACTGCAATAAATAAATAAATAGGGGTTATATTTGCAGTATTTTTTGCAAATAATTCATCATGTAATAGTCCTTGTTATTCCAATGAATCAAAAGCCAAAATAACTATAATTACCATGGGATTTCCCTTAGCAATGGAAGTTGAGGCAGTAGAGACATGGCAATATGTGTTTTAAAAATTCTGGTCAGATAGGTCAGTGTCTGCATTTAAAAGATAGAAACTGGAGAGCAAATTATACATTTATTATCATTTTCATGGTCATTAATTTCTTGCTTTTCTCCTGCTTCCTGTCTTTACCTTATGTAGTAAGAATAAAAAGTAATGTATGAATAAGTAGACTGAGTAAAACCGTATAAACCTGTGTAACTACAAAGCCATGTTTTGGCCAGCAACATTTATCCAAGTAAAAAGTAGCTACAGATCTTAAGGTTACACAGCTGAAATTCTTCAAAATATTTTTTCTTTATATTAGCCTTTATTGACTCAAAGACGTAAACTAGTAGCACCCGGTTTCTACCTCTTCCACATCTTCCCTTCTATAATGGAATTAATACTAGTTTGATGGAGGACAATTAACCCTTTACAAACACTAAGAATTTAGATTAAGTCATTGGCTAGAGTGGAAAAAGAAACTGTACCAACAAGAAGTCTACACACTCAACTGTAACTTGAATATTTTTCTTCTGTCTTTAAATAACTTGTACTTCATTGTGAGGCAGCTATTTGGCTTTTCAATAACCACATTTAGGGATACATTCATAGAACCGCTTAGATAGTCCAAGTGAAATAGTTACAGAAATAGAGGCAGTGTTGTCTCAGAAAATTTATTTATATATCAAAATCTATTTTGATATCTGGAAGATACAAAAAGGCTGAATTCTTCATGCTAATTACACTTTATGTAACTCAAGCATACTTCTCTCGGCAAGAGCAAGCTGAAACATCCATGAAGGTAAAGGTGCTTCATGTTAAATGTTTCTTCTAAGCTTTTATTTGAATGAAGAATCTAATACCAAAGAAACCAGCAGGGCCTTTCTACATTTTCACTAAGATTATGACCCTGTAGACTCATTCATCAATCATCTTCCTTAAAAATTTTTCTTGGCACTCAATTAAGACTGAAGTCTATTTTACTTTGTACTTTCACATTTTCAAATGAAAACTTAAAAGTTATCGTATGTATAAACATTCTGTAAAGTAATTTTGCCATGTAACTTATTTGGATATGAGACTTACATATAAGGGTAAATATTGCAAATTAAATTTCCTTTTAAAGTCAAATGACAGAAAACTCAAGTTTTGTGCATTTCTTTCAAGTCTACCAAGAACATTTCTTGAGCAACCACCACTGACAATCTAAAAATCTGCCTAATATTAGAGATTGGACAACTGGAAATCATGAATATTTCAGGTGTCTCATCTTATGAAAAGTTACCAACCTGTCACTCCCTACTTGTCAGATAATGATCTAGCATAAAACCAGTCCTGTCACTAGAGGAAGAAGGTCACAGTGATATTTGTACTATAACACTTTATGCTTCTACTTTTCCAAGAATAGAACCAATTTGTTTAACAATTCCTCTTATCCCAAATCCTTAAACTCAATATTGTAGGCACAGAGTATAAGCAAATACGGGATATTCTTCAAAGGATAAGGAGTATCCTCACTATGTTATTCTCAAAAAATACTGTCTAGATATTCTTTCCTAAATAATAATCAAACACTCACTGCCCACATTTTTAACAGCCCGTATTAGTTGACATTAATGCATTTATTGTGCCACAAGTCCATCTAAGCTTTCCTTTAGGTATTTTAAAATATGTCTAAGAGGAAAAACACCTGCTTCAGGTTTGTTTAGGGGTTTTAACCTATAAGGACATCAACTCCATTTTCAAAGTTAAACTCACTATAGTATTATTGGGTTTACAGAAGAAAAAGGACAGGAAAAAAAACTAAATCACAATAAACTTCTTTAGGTCAGTTAAAGGCCATTATCTCTAGCTGGGATATTAAAAAAAATTTAATCTCACCAGCTCACACTCAAAATGTTAATGCCTCTAATAACAATAGCAGGAAAAACAAACCTGCTGACAACCAGTCCACTCATGAACATAAAAGCAGTTTAACTCAAATACTTAGACCAAAGTGTAACACTACCTACCCAAACTTCCCCACCCATGAGCAAGAAGAGAAAAATCAACTGCTTTAAAAATCTAAATAAGCTTAGTATTTCTTACAAGGATAACAATGGTCCAACTCCTAAGAGTGCTCAGAAGGACTAAAGGTGGAGTGAAGGCAATGTCCAGGGATAAGTATCCCACAAATAGTCTTTAAAAACCCAAAGTACCACAAACACGCTAAGCTTGTCTATGAAATCAGAGAAAAAGATATTGCTGCTGCTTCCTCTAGTCTTTTGAAATAAACACTATCTGTAGGCTCTGCCCTTCAATGTGAAAGCAGGACACTTTTAAAAAAAAAGCTAAAAAATTTGAAATCAATTGATACCCAAAATTTTTGAGTTATACATCTTAACTATGAAACTAAACAGATCTTCTTCCTTCAATCCAACCACCTCACAAAAGTGAAAGAACTAAAGCAATCCAGACATGATTATTTTTAAAAGTCCTTGAAATGAAACTTTTAAAGGATCAAGGCTTGGGGAGAGGAAAACCAAGAACAAGAAAATGAGGGAAAGCTTAACAAGGGGGTGGGGGAATTAATGGGCCTCTCTTTTTATTTGGCTACAAGCAAGTACAAGAAAGTCCATTTGTAATTTGTTCAGTTGTCTGTCTTGTGCATCTGCATTCTGACCAGAAGGGACTTTGAAGTTTTTCTGAAGCACATGAGCATCAGCAGGCTCTATCCTCTTATAGTAGTTCTTCTTTGTTTCAATAATCTCAAAGCCAGACTTCCTGTAGAAGTCAATTGCTGACTGATTGCTGATCTGGACGTGCAGATAGATGGTGTCAAAAGTGCCATCTTCTTCGCCGATGTTTAAAACATCGTTTAACACTTTAGTTCCTATTCCTAGCCTCTTCTGATCCACCCTGCAGCAGACTGCACCTACAGCAGTATCATTGAAATAGGCAAGTTTTGCTAGCTTGCCAACCTCCAGCGCATCCTTGTAGAACTTGCCATTATAGCTGACTGGAAAGATGACCTGGTTTAACCTCTTCAACCGTTTGATATTATGTGGTGTTACGTCTCCGAGCTCGATCCCGCCTTTCATCTTCCCCGCCTGCAGAGGCCGTGGTTACCACCACTCTCAACCCCATCGTCCCGTCTCTCTGAGCTCAAGCCGGCCTCCTCGCCTGGGGAAGGGAGTTGAGGGGGTTATGGAGGCTGCAGAAGTCCACTACGGCCCTACATCCGCTGAGAGGGCGGGGACGATGTGGGTACCGCCGCTCCTCCACACGTGCACACGGGGCACTGGGCTCCCGCCCGCCGCCAGCCCAAAATATTTTTTTAAACAAAGCAATATTACTTACTTATTTTATGTTCTTAAAAAATCAAAGTGAAAGTAGGCACCTCGACATCTGTAATAATGTTAACTGTCAGCATATCTCTGAGAAGGTTATTCCCTCACCTCAGATGATAAAGCTGAGTACTTCAGTTAGTTCTACAGTGGACCCTTGACTTACGAATTTTATCAGTTCCCAGTGGCTGGTTGTAACAAAATCAAGTCAATACAGCTAAGTCAATACAGCTGAGATCTGGATGTTTACCTGGGTACACACTAACCAGAGGCAGATGAATCTTCCATTAACTTACTTAACCCAAGTTTTTCGTAAGTCAGGCTGCTCGTAACTTGAGGGTCCACTGTATTGGTGTCCCCACTTCCAGCCTTCAGCATTATGAGGGGAGACCTCATGAGCTTGCCTCTCATGGGTCACTCTGTCTTGAGTGCACACAGGGTGATGCGGATGAGGGAGGAGATTGAGAATGCACCCTTGAGTTCTTACCGCAAGAGTGAGAATCTCATCAGGGCTGTTCCACTCTCTGCCTTCATCTCATCTAGTGATCTCTCAAAGCCCCACCTTCAGCTCTCAAAGACTAAGGCTTTGCCGTATGGAGAAGGATATAAGTATTTGGTCTGTAAACAGTGTCTTGATGGAGAATGATCTGTTCAGGATGGACAGGGGCCTCAGAGCATGGCACGGACGTAAGGTAGAAAGCCATTTCAGTAGAGATGAATGAGGGCCACTTTGACTTAAGAGAGCAGCAAAAATGAGGAGGAGCAATGCAAATTAGGTGTGTTTGGTAGAAAAACTGAGAGGATGTGCTGGAGGATTGATTGTCACTGCAAGACAAATAGAGGAACTAAGGAGGTCTTCTACGTTTGCATAGGTCTCACGATGGGTTAGTCCTTAAAATATACAAATAATGACTATGAGAGGAAATACAGATATGGCTTTACATTTTCTCTTAAAACTTTTAAACAGTTTCTTTTCACTTTTAAATCATTGGTAAAAATCTGTCAACATTTCTCTTTAGGGCCATGACTTTAAGATTTTTAACATCATCTATCTTTATATTAATTTCCTGGGACCACCATAAGAAAGTATTTTAAAGTAAGTATCTTAAAACAGTAGAAATGTGTTTTTTCACAGTTCTGGAGTCTGGAAGACCAAAATCAAGGTGTCAGCAGGACTGCATTTCTTGACGGCTCTAGAGAACACCCTTTCTTTTCTTGTCTCCCCTCCTTCCTCCTGACTTTGAGAGAATTCTTCCTGTCCCTTGGTTTTTCTCAGAATGATGCAGTCTCTGCTTTCTCCCTAGTGCTTCTCTGTTGTAAGGATACTGGTGACTGAATTAGGGTCCCCCCTACTCCACATGGTCATTTATCTCCATTACGTTTGCAAAGACCTTATCCAAAATAAAATCACATTCACAGGTATCAGGGGTTTGGACTTGAACATATCATTTTTAAGGACACAATTTGATCCCTAAGTATATTTCTGGTTCTGCTATTCTGGTTTTGTTTTGTTGTTTGGCCTATAAAAAAACTACAAAGTCATAATTACTATAGATTTTTATTATGTCTTGATAGCTAGAGAACATGTCTCTCTCTTGACTGTCTTTAAAAGAGTTCTGGATTATCCTGTCACCTTAAGTATTGTTTTTGTTTGTTTGTTTGTTTGTTTTTTTGGTTTTTGAGACAGGGACTCACTATGTAGTTGAGACTGACCTGGATCTCACTATGTAGCTCAGGGTGGTCTCGAACTCCCAGCAGTCCTCCTGCCTCAGCCTCCCGAGTGCTGGGATTACAGGCATGCCCCACCATGCCCAGTTTAAGTATTGTTTTTAAAATTACTTGATAAACATTATAGGGATTTAGATTGGAATTATACTGAATTTACAGTTTACTTTGAAGAGAAACAGCAACTTTAAGTCATATAATTATCCAGTCCACTAGCAAGATACCATGCTTTCTTAGCTTTCTTCTCATATATAAATGGAGACTTTAAAAATCAATTATCTAGCTGGGTGTAGTGGTACATGCCTGTAATCCCAGCACTTCTAGAAGGTTGAAGCAGGAAAATTGAAAGTTTCAGCTCAGCCTGGGTAATTTAGAGATTTAGTGATGAGTTTGTCTCAAAAAAAAAAAAACTAAGGGGCTGTGAATGTGGTCCAGTGGGAAGGCCCTGGGTTTAATCCTCAGCACTAAAAAAAAAAAAAAAAAAAAAAAAAAAAAAAAATCAATTATCTAAATATTTTATGCTAGCAGATTCATTTTTGCTTGATATTCTACTCAAGAGCCTTTCTTAAACTTTCTCATTAATTGTAATAATTTGATGATTCTTTTGAGTACTTTATGTTTGTATCACTCATAAATGGCTGTTTAATTTGGTTTCTTTTCTGGGGGGTCCTTTTTAGTTTTATAATTTTGATTTCTTTTTCTTGTCTGATTGCCATCTGTCTTAGTTACTTTCTTGTCACTAATACATAATACCTGACACCTACAATTTAAAGGAGAAAAGATTTATTTTGGCTCATCGTTTGTAGACGCTTCAGCCCATTGGCAGCTGGCTCCAGGGAGGGTGCAATGGCAGAGGAGTCTGGCAGAGAAGAATTGCTCATAGCGTGGCAGCAAGAAGTAGAGAGGTATCGGGGAGGAGGGAGGGTGACAGGCCCTGCCAGGCCGCACCCCAGTGACCCCTCCTCCAACCAGGCTTCACCTCCACCTCACCTTTAGCTGTAAACCCCTCAATGGACTAATTCATTGATGAGTACCACGTCCCATCACGCAATCACCTCCCGAAAGCCCTATCCGGGAGTGCCTGAGGCCTTGGCAGACATTTAGATATGAGCCGTAACAGCATCCTTGTTACCTCCAGCACAGCAGAAGGAGCTGGTGTGGCTGTCTCATGATTTCCTGGATCTCAGGAGGAGTGCTTTACCACTGTGTGAGGCTTTCTCTAGGGTTTTGGCAGGTGATCTTTCTGAGGGCAAACATGTTCCTTCTGTTCCAAGTCTCTATCCATTTTTCAAATTGTCTTTTGATGGAACTTTTTCTTTATTTCCCAGTGCTGTTACAGATAATTAAAATAACTTTTTCATTTTAAAATGGTTAGGATAGAACTATTTACCCATAGATATATAGTATTTAGCATTTGAAAGAGCCTTAAATAAATATACGTATGTTGAGAAATTGCCCAGTGGAAAAAAAGTCAACATGATTCAGTGAAAAAAAAACAAAACTTGTAGACTTACTTTGGATGTGGGATTGGATCTTGGTGGCTGGGCGCCTTTTCCTCACCCAGTAATACAGACTTGACAATGCCTCTCTGGAGGTCACTGGTGTTCCAGCATTTGGAGATTTTTTTTGAGTGATTTAGAAAATTGAGTCTGATAGTAAATGAGCCTCCACTTCTAGTTTTTCTCCAAGACACCAATACACTGAAGATCCTCACAATTGTCAGGATTCACAATTGTCAGGAGACTTTTTTTTTTGGTCTTCTCAACTGGCAATTGAATGTGAACAGAAGCTCTAACTGCAATCAGGAGGAAGAGACCACTCCGAAGGCAAGGGCTCCACTCAGTTCAAGAGGAAGCTAGTTTGTAGTGTCAGGCTTTTTCTATCTAAACCAGAGACAATCCCACAGGGTGCTGCTATGCCCTGCTGAGATCAACCCACCACATGAACAGGAAAGAGACATTTCCTTAAGTGGTCCTAGGAGAGAAGGCAGTAGCTGGAGGGAAGACAGTGACACTTGTTATTTACTGAGGTGTGATTCTCGAAGAGGGGACTTAACACTTGTGCTCCCGGGGGAAGGCTGCTGTATTTAGAAGTGAATAACTGACACTTTTCCCCCTGGTTTTTCAGTGGTAATGAAACTCCACAGAGAGCAGAGAAGTTTGTTAAATTCATGCATTAATTTAGAGGACTTCATTTCTTCCTTGGAGACATTTTTGTGTGTGAATCACAGCTCATTTTTCTTTGTGTTTTTTGTAATCAAAAAGTTTGTATTCTTCCACTTGAAAAGTATCTATTTGTTCATCCATCCATCCATCCAATACTTCTGTCTATTCACCCTCTGTCCAGAGTGAGCATTTATTAAATATTTTTACTAAGAGCTGACATTTTTTGAACTCTTAAAAATGCCATTAAAATTTTATGTATGCTCTCATTTATGCTTCAGATAACCTGTGAGACATTTACTGTTATTCCATTACATATAAAGAAAGTGAGATACAGGTGACATGGATTTACTCATTCTCAGAGCTAGTCACCGGAGAAGGCATGACTCAAACTTGGATCTTTTTGATCTTATGGCCTTTCATAGTGGCAATTCATGCAGATTCTACTGAATCATAAGAGCTATTAAATTTCCAGAATGTTGACTGTTGTTGATAAATATATAATGAATTATAGAGCCAGAGGCCAGGCCTGCTGGGACAATAGTGCTGTGCTGGGATCTAGAAGTCCATCTTTCTGAGCCCAGAAATTGGCACAGTGGTGAGCAGTAGAGAAAAGGCCAGTCTCTCTGAGGCTTGATGATAATTGAAGCCCACTGGGCAAGCAGAGTCACGTCAATAAAGGTGCAGTAGATTGCAGTGGTTGGTGAGTTGTTGGGGTCAACACCTCCTACTGGAACCAGACTTGTTGCAGGGAAAGGGCAGCTCAGACCTGCAGTAGAACTGCACAGAGTTCAAACCCAAACCCAAAGGAGGTCAGGGTGCTCAGTTCTAGCCTTGCAGCCAGAAACGAGCCTGAACTTCAGTGGA